AGTGGAGACCTGAGGACCGGAGCACCCACAAGCTTGTAAATAGCGTGTGCGTGCTCCCCTAACCTGATATGGTCCTCTGCTCCCGCCATATCTGCCTCTCCCACTGACCGTACTAATTCCTCCCTCCTCCTTCAATCCCCCACCCTCTCCCCCCACCCTTTCTCCCTCGCAACCCCCAGACATGGCTGGTCCTGACCTATTTATATTTAAATTGACCTACATTTGTCATATTTTTCAAAATAGTAAACAGAAAAAATATTTAAAAGCAAAAGCACCTCCATTCCTTTTGCTTTATAGGAAAATATTTGATTTAAAACTGTGAATGTGTTTTGTTTCCTACAGTAAGCTTATGTCTTAGCTGAATGCTGTTTTATAAAAGTCAGAATTCTACATAGGTCTGCCCTAATAACTATGGTGTCAATATTTCTCTAGTTCTAAATTAGAATTGCTCCTTGTCATTTTGTTTCTAGCAAAAGCAGTCTTCAGGATACACATTTGGATGCCTGTTTATAATTCTGGGATTTAAAAAAAGGTTGCCTTACTTTATTACATTATACTGAGACCAGATGAGACAGTTTTCTGTGGTTAATTAAGCTGTCACACCCTATATCTAGCATTATTAAATTGAATCTTCTGGAAGACACTTAATCTTCATATAGATCTTCGACATGTGTTTTGACATGTGTTTTTACACATAAAGATAGGCTTTTTATATCATAGCAAAATTTAAGAGCTATGAATAATGCTTGCTTGTAGGATAAGGTTATGGAATATTTATTTGGCTGTGCACTGCTTTGGTTCAAAGATTAAAAAGAGCTTTGGAGCATAATGCAGGCACAAACATACCAGCTGCCTACAACTTATATAAAACATGTTTTCCCCTCCAGGACTGATGACAGCTACAGTATAGCCGGCAGTCTTAGAAAAAGCCCTTAAAGGAGTTATATACAGATCCCACATTGTGCCCCTCTGCATTTCAAAGCATTTTTTTTGTTTTTGAACATGAAGCATTGCACAACCCTAATATTTTTGCCATAATGGAATACGACAGAGCTAGAAATTTTAATTTTCCATATTGAATTACAATACTTTCTTCACTTACTGTGATATTTTAGTGGGGTGTATTTTGCATATTGTCTATTCCTTCGTGGGGTGTTTATATATATATATATATTCAAATTAATGTTTAATATCATGACAGTAGAATAAGAGTTCTCAGTCTTGGTCATTGTGGTTTTCCCAGCTGGGAATCAATTGCCCATCCATTCCCAAATATAAAACAAATAGTTTCAGATTTGCAATACTGGCCATAGGGCAGTAGAAATGGGCTGGTGCTTCTAATCACTCCCAATAGCCCAGAGGAACATATATTTTCAGAGAGATAGAGAGGAACCCTATGAACTCCTTGCATTTGAGTAGTATTACATTATTGAAAATTAATAGCTTTTAAAAATGTACTTTTCAAACTTGGCAAAACAAATGCACATTGATTAGCATAGAGATACGGCAAATGGTCCAAAACCTCCTGATAGAGAAAAAGTATAAAAACTGCTGCCTTCTTTTTATTCCTAGGATTCATTAAAAGGGAGATAGCTTCTGTTAGACACGGGTGATATTTCATTGTATGTAATAATACTGGTATTTTTTAAAATCTTTTTACTGACAGCTTCTTTTGATGGGGAGAAACATACCATCAATCTTCCTTCTGTGAATAGTGCATCTTTTGTTCTGCGCTTCTTGGAGAAACTCTGCCACAGCCTACAGTGTGATAATCTTTTCAGTAGCCAGCCCTTTAGTCCTTACATGAAAAATGCACATAGTCCCATTGAACATGATAGAAACAAGTCAGGTAATGTTCTGATTTCTTTAGTTCTCCTCCTTGTCGTAGCTCTTGTGTATTTTAGCATTGATGGTTTATGTTTAGAAAAAAAAAATTACAATAGTTGAATAATCCTTTTGAATCATAGTGCATAGTGATTTAGTAAGAATTTAAAAAAATATGTAGTTTTACTTTTTCCACAGATGTGTGTAATTATAAGTTCTAAAGTTTTAAACTATACGTTGACTTACAGGACATGCTTATGTAATTTTTTGGCAACAATTCAGAAACTTTTTTCAGGGACCTCTATTTCCCAGTGTATTCTGCAGACATGGCGTTTAGTAGACTGATGTCCAAATACCAAGGAGGATTGACCCTACTTAGCTTCTGAGCCCCAAAAAAGGTCAGCCATTTTTGCCATTCACTGCAGAATTAAAAGTAAGGTATACTGAAAACCACTGTATTAGGACTACAAAGCAATCCATATTCAAAGAGGAAAGTGGGGTTCAGAATATGCATGTTATAGCTACTAGCACATTCTTAAATCAAATATGCTTTCCTTGGAAAAATGCAGTTTCCTTAAAAAGTTGCTGATAGTTGTAGTGTGAGTTACCATATACATACAGAAATACTTTTTCTACATTGGATAGCATTATTATGGATATGCAACTGCTATGGTAAGAAAATAGTATGATAAATTCTTTAATTTACTGTTGCCTGTTGAAATTTGTAAATCTGAAATATCTTTATGTGTTTAAGTGCTCAGCTTACTCAGTCCTGATTTCACATTGCTTGCTTGCTAATAGTCAGTCATGACAGGTGCAGTGCTGGGTTTTAGCCTTACTATATATGCCATGACCAAACAGCCACTACCATTATTGCCATCAACCAAGGATTTAGTTTATTTCAATGGATATAATCAAAATTAGGATAGTCAAAGACTTACCACCTGCTTTATAGAAAGATCTAGTAGCTTGGAAACTGACTTGTGTTGTCCTAGGGAAAGAGTCTTATCTCATTTCTTTTAAAAATCAATGGTGAATTAAAAAAACTAGAACTTTCATTATCCAACATGAAGTGGAAAAAACCCCTAAAGGTGGTTTTAGCATGGAATAATATTTGCATGGAATTTAGTGAAGAAATTAGTGCATCTATTTCCAACTTTTATACTTTACAAATTTGGTTATTAGGGTCCATAATCTTTTTATTCTTCACCAAAATGGAACAAAACATATAGGAAAGATAAACTATAGTGCAGAGGATTTCAGCTTTAAAAGCAACTGGGACCTTGCTGATTGGATCTATTGGATTTAAACTTTAACTGTGAGTGGGGAGGAGATTCAGCTTTAAAAGCAGTGGCCCGCACGCCTAACGGCGTGCGAATTATATAACCAAAAATCAAACAGCAACAGTACATTCAGGGCAAGTGCGTCTGTGATTCCTTATATCTAAGAATGTCAGGCATAGTTCAGTGCAACACTTCTTTTGCAGCTGTCTTTCGCAGTACCCTTTTCAATCATGGAAACTGTCCTATCTGTAAACAAATCACTAGTCTACAAGGACAGATTACTTATCTAGGGTCTGTAATCTCTGTTCTTCAGGCAGAAATTAGGTGTCCAGTTCAGCCCCTCTACTCCACTGAGCCTCCAAGCTATCAGCCCCCTCTACCACAAAGATCCTGCAGGAGAAGGGCAGTGTGGAGAACCGTGGGATCTGGCAGGGTGAGAGCTGTGAACCATAAACACAAAGCTTTTGCTGTGTCCCTGCACAACAGATACAGTGCCCTTGCTGAC